CCAGAGGGTAGTTGGCTAGTTAGTTGATATTCCCATTGAAATCGCAAAATGTTAAAGGACTAAACTACTCATCCAGTCGGTTGAACTAGAAATAGTATCGTCTAGTTTACCCAGATCCTATTATATCATTAATAATATTACTATATAGTACGTATAACAAAAAATGAGGTTGTAAGTAGCCATCTCTACCTTGTACATATATTACCAATCCAACCTCGATTACAATTATATGAATCCCATTCTATGAAATTCCCACTCACATTTCTCGCAAAATTAAGGTACCATATCAGTACCATAGTCCAACATGAGTTTTTGTTTCACCATCCGGGCAAGACCCGGCGCCAGCGCCGCCACCTTCGACCTCGCCCTCCAGGTCCACTGCATCAATGTCACTGGCCTTGCAGGGTGATACAAAACGGTGGGGGCCTTGGAAAACTTCAGGGTAGGCCCAGAAATATGGGGAGCTATGAGCTAAGGTATTGATTATTGATGATTGAATATTGATTATGATATATCATATTAGCATCATGTACCATTTATCATTAATTTTGAGATAATATCATTTTCTATCAGGTAAATATATATATATATATACATAAATGGTAATATGATACTATATGGAACCATAGAAATATGGGGAGTTCAGGCTCTTTACCAGTTATTTCAATGGTGATTTCATGGGACCATGAACCATTTTTATGGGGTCACGTGTACTGACGACTTGAACTAGTAAAGGGCCACAATTGTGGGGATGAAAAAAATGTTAAACATGGTGTTCCTAAAATGGCGATACCCCAAAATGGATGGTTTATCATGGAACATCCTATTAACAATGGATGATTTGGGGGATACCTCGTATAGGGATTAAAGCCAAAAAACATGGAATTTATTGCTGATACAATTGATTCATGTTAGCTAAGTTCACCTATGACGTTTGGCAAACTGTTGGGTTTATGTAGAGATATCGAACTGCTCAGTAGGGAGTAGTTATGATTTATGATCCATCTTATAGCTCAAGGCACCACATGCTGGTACTTGCTAAACAAAAATGACTATAACTATAACTGTGCTACAACTACATCATGGAGGTTTCTGAAGTCATGGAGGTACCCCTACATCATCCATTTTAATAGGATTTGCCATTATAAACTATAAGTCGTCCTTATGGCTCCAACGGAATTCCTTGATCTTCCAAGTATGCATCCCTTGGATCATTGAGTATCCGCGAAGCATAGGTAATGGCAAGCTTACCGCACGCATTCAACTACAATCTTAATATATGTATGAATGACTATATATATATATAACTATATATAATAAGTCTATGTACGTATATTGTATGTGTATATATATGTATATATATATAATGTATATATATATATAATGTATATATATATATGTATACATGATACATCAATGTGTATTGGGGGCAGTATGGCTCCGTTCCAATCGTAGCTTGTGTTGCAACTGGGAGCCCCGTGGCCCCGCACCTGGTCGTCATCATCAAAATCGTTGTCATCGAAACCCGCGTCGTCGTCCATCTGAGGGGAGTTTTTCTTATGGATGTCTATGGATGTTTATGGTAGGTATCTAGTGAACTAGTTTAATAGGCTTATAGAACATTATAAAACCAACTTGCGTCTGTGGGGACCAACGTTGTTTTTTTTTAATGTTTTTTTGGGGCTTGTGGTGATCCCATCATTGGGATTAATGAATTTGATTACCATCCCCCAGTGGGAACAGCGGCACAGCATCAACTAGAACGACCATGGCATACTTTGAAAAAAGGTGGTGTTCAGGAAGCTAAATCGCTAACGTTTGCTGCAAAAGACTCCAAAGAAACATTTGGTTTTATGATAGATATATCGAACTAGTTACTATGGTTTATAAACCAACTTGTAACTGGGGTGGCACCACCTTGTAGCTATAAAGGGGACACCCAGTAGGGGGACTTGTCGAGCCGGGTAACACACCCTGCTGACCGGTTTTTTAACCAAAAAAAGGGACTGGGTCAAAAAGGGTCAAGGCCTAGGGAACCACAAATGCCTTGGTTGATTGATGGGAAAAATATGATGTTTTAATGGGCTATGTCACCCTCAGTGGATATAGAATATGGAATATGAATGGATAGTGATGAGATATTCATGGGACATTACCCGGCCTGGTAATGACTAACAGTTCGCGAACTTGAAAATAGCCCATTGAAATAGTGCATTTACCCATTGATAGCATGGTGGATCTTTCCAGTTCGTTTTTTGTATGTTTACCAGGCCGGGTAACTAACCAACTTACTGACGTTTTTAGAACTGGTGCAATGGTCAGTTGGTTGCGAAAAATCCTGCAATTGTCTTTGCCATTTCACCGTAGGTAACTAGCACCATCTGGTTATGACTAACATAGCCATGGACAATCCCTTATAAATGGAGGTTTTAATGGGAAAATCAACAATTTTCCATGGCTATGTTAAATAACCAGAGGGGAACTGGTTTATAAATAACCATGAAATTAGTCACCTACGGTAAAGCAATCATAAACCATCCCCAAAATCACCATAAATGGGTGCTACAAACTATCAACATAAGGGTGGTTTATTGCTTTATTAACATTATCCATGATTACTCTCTGGTAAACTAACATAGCTAGCGAAAATGGCCATTGATTTTTGATTTACTTCCCAAACATGTGATGTTCCATAGTTTTCCGACTAAAAATGGTGATTTTCCATAGTTTTTCCACTAAAATTGGTGATTTTCCATAGTTTTCCCATTAAACATGGTGATTTTCCATAGTTTTCCCATTAAAAATTGTGATGTTCCATAGTTATATTAGTTTACTGAAGAAGGGTATCCCGTGGACAACCCTACAGTTACACCAAGCAGTGCTCGCCAGGGCCTTTCTCACACTCCGGCGCTAAGGTGTTCCCTTGCTGCAGTTGCTACCTGTGGGACGGGACGGAGTTGTAGCTTATCACTTGTTTTTGTGGCGAAGTTCAGCAATTATATGGTTTTTGAAACCTGAACATATTTGAACATCTATTGAAAAACACATATGGTTCATGTAAAGCAAAACACATGTATATATATATAGGAATATATATATATATACATGCTCCTGTTTTGGAGACTATAAGTTGTACTCAAAATGATTCATCGAGTCAGTTTACCGCAAGAATCCCCATAACGTTGATCGTAAAGTCACCAGGGTCACCTTTTTGGTCAAACCATGCTACACCAGGCTAAGAGCCTATAACTTTTTACTGTTCATGCTTAAACAAACACAACTGGTACCAAACAAACACTGGTTCAAAAACATGTTTACGCTCCATTTTTTTTCGAGTTGCTACTCCCCCAGGTTGATTAATAAAGCCTGTAGAAGTAGGATTATATCAAAGACCCTGGTGATGCAAGGGCCCAAGGGTGGGTGAATATGCTGTCACCTCCCGCGTTGCAATCACCTAGGATTGGATGTAATGTAAGTTGGGCAATCCGATTTTTTGGCTTACCTTTTGGTATTGTAGGATCATCTATTTTTGTTGTTTTTTGATTTGGTATTTCTTGGGTGCTGTCAGTTCTGCACCAAAAATCAACCCGTTGAACTCTTCAACGTGTTCCCGCCTGGGTGTACACCCGCGGCACTTGGTGCGGTTAGGAGGCGTCGAGTTGTGGCGCACTAATATCAAAGTGACGCCCTGCAAATCTTCTACCTTGGAGGATCCAGGGCGCCAGGGCTGAAGAGGTGGGTACCCCATTTTTGTTGATGATTGGATCATGATCTATCATTCCATCACCTTTCGATACGTCAGAGTCAAGACCTGCTCGGAGCATTATAGATTATAGTTGAGATTATTTTCCGCCTTAGTCCATTATTTCTCATCCTTCTCCCTCTCCCCATCAAATGGTTATTTAAAGCTTAAAGGTTACACGGTCCACTATTGTCAAATGAATATCCTGGGATATCCATATCATCCATGGTGCTGGGAAATCTACTACATGGTTAATTATGTTGATCTATTTTGACTGTATGTTCGGCACTTTTGCAGTTTTGCAGTAAACCATATAATATAGTAATATATATATATAATATTCATATATAATTACTATATATTTCTATACAGTCTAGTCAATAAACATCTAGAAACCATGGATCAGTTGGAACCCCGCGCAGATCTCTGGGGTCCCCAACGGCCTTTGAAAAAAGGCCAAGCAAGCAATGCCAATCGGCGGCGCAGACTAAAAGTCGTTGCTGCGCAGTCGACTCAAAAACTTGAGTCTGGAGTCACCCAGAAACTGCGGATTTTATGATTTTGAGATGGATTTGCACAGGATGACCTAGGGAATAGCCACGAAGTCGTGCAGGAATAACACCTTGTCACCAAGGATACAACATGGGAGACACAAAGGTTCCACCAGAGCCGGAAACCAATCCGTCCCAACCACCCGGCGGATCAGAGGTTCTGAAGCTCGGTGTCTGTACCTATACCTTGCAATGGTCTCCTGATCCTTAAACGTGGCCTTAGACCCTATATGGCCCTTGGATGCCCTTGGTGCATGATCCGGGACTGCCCGACTCTTTTGTGAAAGAGGTAAGTTTGTTGATCCACATTTGACCAATCAATGTTATTCAATGTTGAGAGATTACGATTACATCAATGATCATCAATGTTTCTAGATGCTATTATATCTAAACCATTGCTGATGGAATGTATCTGTGGGTTCAACCATCCAAATGTGCTTGTCAAGCGGATTGATTCTCACACTATATCCCAAGCAGTGATGAAAAGGACTGCTCACTGGTTGGTGGTTTCAACCGCTCTGAAAAGTATGAGTTCGTCAGTTGGGGTTACTATTCCCAATATATGGAAAAATAAAATTCATGTTCCAAACCACCAACCAGCTCATGTCCTTATTGATGCTGTTGCTACATGTACCTATATAATCCTATATCCCTCCGATAGAACTTCGGTTTGGCCGTATGAATTCACCACGCACCGACATCGCACCCTTTTGCGATCGCATCAAGTCTTCACGTCCTCAGCGACCCAAGGGCTCCAAGCGGCAGCAGGTTGGGGATCATCCAAGGGTATGGCTGCAGAAATTCATGAAGCATATCCTTTCTGTAATCATTCCATGTCATTCCTGCAGCAACACTAATATCTATACCATGACCATCGCCATGGATGTGAAATTATGGGTGTTTTTAATGATGTACGCCACATCCCAAAATCTGGACCCACAGTGGGTTAAACTCAGATTTGGAGCCACGTTTCACAAAGAGTCACGAGCCCCATCTCTTGGACTGAAAAACAGACCTCCGAAAAGAAGACCCGGAAGACAACATGTTGAGCCTTGAACAAGACTCTATCAGAAGTAATGTGGTTCAAACAATGCCATGGTTACCACTTCCAAAATCACCATTTTATCATAAAAATATGTGTGGTATTTCTCGGTGGTATTTCGTTTCAACCATTCCCAGTGGCTGGTAACCATGGCATTGTTTTACCCACTGTCATCCCCGTCATGGTAGCCCCAAGGTCCAGGTCATCCCCGTCATGGTAAACTGACACAACTATTGAACATAGCCCATAGAAATAGTTGATCTACCGAACGTAAATATGATAATATTATGATTTTTCCATATAGTTTTTGGTATGTTTACCAGAGGATCAAACCCATTACATCCCATTGAATCACCATTAAATCACCATTATGGTTGGTTAACAACTATAAACGACAGGTATCAACTATAAACGACAGGTATAAATCACCATCAATCACATGTCCCCTCTCTTGGACCCGGTGAACTTCTTTGGTCCGAGCTGCGATAAACATGTCGCGGGTGGATCGAGGGTGGACGATGGTTCGTCCAGGATCCTCACGCGGCGGTGAGGTCATGGTTGGACGACGAGGACATGGGGAGCCTGGCGGCCGCCTTAAACGTTTAAAGCATGTTTGGTGGTGGTTGATTTTCCAAAATGACTGGTTATTTTAAAATGGAATAAAAACACCTATGAAACACCCACCAACCAATTAAACATGGTGATTTTCAAAAACAAATGACTGGTTGGTGGTTGACCTACCCCTCTGAAAAATATGAGTGAAAGTCAGTTGGGATGATGAAATTCCCAACTGAATGGAAAATAAACAATGTTCCAAACCAACCAAATAAGATCAATGGCCTAAATTTCAGGGAATATCGCCAGAAAATATGATTATATGGTCTGATATGGTACTACTATAAGTTAGTAACTCCATTTATAAGATAGAAAAGTCAAATCTGCCTAAAAGTTTCGAAACAAAATAGTGATGTGTTCATTAAAAGCACAATCTCATATCATACTAGTTGGTTGATAGGTTTCCCTAGTATGGATCATCATGATCCCCGATAGATGAAGATAACTTATGTTTTTTTCTACAAGTAGTTATAACTTATTAGATGAAGATAGTTATACCAACAAATTCATCTATGATTCATGAATTATCAGAACTACCATTTGGTTATTTAACGGAGCTATGGAAAATCAAGATGTTTGATAGGTAAATCATGTTTCAAATCCTCTATAAATGGACCATCTATACCATAGCTATGTTAAATAGTATATGATAGTCCACTAATATTCCATAACAGATCGCTATGATATCACCATCTGATACCCCAATATAACAATAACTAGACTATGACTATGTATTACAATCACCCTATGTATTAGAATATAGATTGATATGAGAATAACCACTATATATATATTAGATTAATAGATTAATCATATCCCCTACTATTAACCATGGCTGTTCTGAGATTATAACTATTGCATTATAACTCCCAAGCCATTCACCCATGGCCCCCATGCGATCTATCAGACTCAGATCGGATGAATCGGCCTCGCCCAGAACCAAGCGCTGCCGGAGCGGCCTTTTTTGGCGCTAAAAACGACGGAACCATGGCCCCTGCAACTGCGAAACCATGGGAAAGTGGTGATTTATGGTGATTTACCCAAGAGAAATTGGGTTTTTTCATGGAGTTCATAGCTGATTGATGATAGCTAAGTTGACGCGCACAACTTGGTGATTTTTGTTTGGGTTGCTTAGGGGGGATATAATTACGTATAGCTGATGGATTTATAAACCAACAAACATTTCACTGGGGGGGCTGACCTTGTATCAACGAGAAATGTTGAAATTGTGAAAGTTATATTGTCAATTGTATTGTCAATTGTGAAACACATGTGTTTCCTATACGTATATCTGATATCTATATGGTCAAGGTATATCCACCAGAATGGGAACATGATCCAAGTAACCAGCAATTCTGGCCCCCTGAAAAATACGAGTTATCCCGACAATCTAGTACCAACCAGAAAGTAATCGTTCAACATGACCTACGAAACGCGTTAAAATGAAACGCGTCAAAATGAGTTAGCCTCCGGTAAACTAACATAGCTATGGAAAATCACCATTTTTAATGGGAAAACTCACTATTTCTATGGCCATTTTCAATGGCTATGTTAGTCATAAACAGAGGGTAAACAACGACAAACAAAGAACAGCGACTTTCACCAACGCAAAACGCGCCACAAGCTCCAACGAGGTCTCCGCCTGGGTGCATCGGTGCTGACCAAGTGCGCATACTCGAACAAAGGGCCTGGCGAGACTAGCATGGCATGGTGAAATAATATGAAATAATGCCAATGTTGGGATGTAACCCCAGTTTTGGTGATATTTCCACTTCTAACATCTTTTTTTTTGAACTGGACTTCCAAGTATGATGTTATTGATTGACCAATATGGGGATCTACCCTCTGTCGTGTTCTTTCTTGGCAGAGTCATGGTGTTTCCATAGGATCTTGTGACTTGATCCTGGTCCACTGGTCCACGATTGCCCAAAAGGGGCAAACGTAGGCAAACAGTGATTTTTCATGACGTAGCATCCACCAAGAGCAGTCTAAAATCTAGAATCATTGAGTCATGACATATACAACATTATACAACTCCAAATCATCTATAATGTTGTTTTGGATTAAATTAGATCCCAAAATCAGCATATCCACAACTTCTGAACAGATTGTAGTTTTCTGAACCAACAGAGACCTATCAAAGGGGCCCCTCATTGTAGAACCGATAAGAACGGGGGGATTTTTTTCACCTGCCAAAATGCTCCGTGTCTGTGTGGAATATGTACATAATTATATATTGAACAACATCTACCCTTGTAAATCGCCTATGTTTAGTGAGTTTGGTGGCTAAATCCATTTGTTTTCTTGTGAGCATCCAGCTTTCAGAGATTTCCATACAATTTCCCATGTTTATCGCTCAACATCCCATGTCTTAGCAGTCAGATAATCCACTTGCAATGTGGGCCCACCAATCATAAGTTGTCTTATAAACCCCATCAAACATAATAAGTACCATAAACCATAATAGTGAAGTTGGAGTTACTCTATGTTCACCAACTTAGCTATTTAATAATTATAGCTATAAATCTCATGAAATCCACATTTTTCTTGGTTAAATCACCATTTTCCTATGGCTTTTCTATGGTAAAGCAGCGCAGTGACGTGTCGCCCTGTCGACCGTGCCTAGGAGCAAGCCAGAAGTCGCCATGGTCAGCACCCTGGCGGTTGATCCAACCCAGAGGCTTCGCCAGCCTCCGACAGAAGACAAGTTGCATGTACGTATGTATATATATATATATATATGTATATATATATGCACAGTATATGTATGTATCAAATATATCATGTAGTAAAAAACATAGACATATATACATATATATATATATGTATTATTTATATTCAATTATGTCTTGAAATATCAGATATATTCATGTATATACATTCTTGGTGTTGATGGTTTAAACTCCAATGATAACCATCAACAAAAAGGATGGGATATGATAGGATATAAATGGGTATATATATATGTATATATTGATAAATGATGGTTGCTAGATGACTAGTTCGGGCATGATTAATCACCCTTGATTTGAGGAAATATCCTTATGTGTAATTATTGTGGGGCCGCCTTGTGATAGGCAATTCAGCTTGCAAACGCAATTGCTTTTTACCCCCAACTTCGAGGGTTTCCAGATGTGTTCCCATCTGGGGGTTGTGATCCCACGAGTTCCTCGTGCGAATAGACAGGCCGGCCTGGTCTACTGATCTTCACTTACCCATTGGTATCCCATTGTACGGGGTGGTCAACCTCTTAGTCGGACGAAGACATCAGTGGGGCTCAAGATGTCGAATCAGTTGTAGCACCCCCCCAAATAGTGGTTGAACAGTTGGGAACCTCATAAAATGTTTGCGACATCCATAACAGGTACCATGGCACACCATAGCAGGTTAAACAACATCACCCCAGCTGCAAGTCTTGGGTCTTCCGCACTCAAATCAAACAGGGCTTGCTGGAAAATCATCCAGTTGTAGCTCGATGATTTTCCTACAGTTATGGCCATTTATTAGTTATAACTGGTTATAAATGGGATTATACATTCTATAAATGGGGTTAGTTCAGTACTTATAACTGGTATTTCGGGCCATAACTGTAGAAACATCCATTTATGGAGGGTTCCACCCCATCGCCATGTTTGATCTCCCACGGTTTCAAGGCTACGTGTCACCATCCGTTGGTCCATTGGGCCCATTGATCCCACCTGCGGTTGAAATCATCTCTCTCAGTGTGCGCCAGAAGCGAGGCACCTGACCCCCCGTGAACATCCGACCCTTGTGCCTGGCCACAAAAATAGGGATCCCCGATTCCCAAAATATGTTGAATATTGTTGAATAGTATCTGGTTGGTGGCTTCAACCCCTGTGAAAAATATTAGTCAGTTGGTATTATTAATCCCAATATATGGAAAAAATGTTCCAAACCACCAACCAGGTATAGCCTGGAAGCAAATCAACCAAGGGTGAGTTTGACATGTTTTGAATACTGCACCAGTTTGAATCTAAGAAAGACACGGACAGCTTTCAGCAAAAACCGGGCCTTCACTTTGGGTCTTTGGCTTGTCGAGGCTTCAACGATTCCCATCGATTGGTCTTAGAGAATTGGATTGCTGGATTTCGTGACCTAAACACATGTCGTTTGTCTACGGACCAATGGATGCCTTTTTTGGGTTACCAGGCTGGGCTACGGGATTTTGCCTGGTTGAGGATCGTTTTTCTGGGCCTCTCATAGTGGAGACAACCCATTCCTTTCAACGGAATCAAGCCGTGGAATTTCAAGGGGATCGCCCTGTGATTCAAAAGGCTACGATATCTGGAAACCTCCGCCGACAGCCACTAGGCCTTATAGTACTTGTAGCCACTTTTGCCAGATGTGATCACCGAATGAATCTGGCCGGTCTGGAGTGTGGAGTGCATCAAACCACAACGAACTGAACTGGGACCCATGGTACATGTGAATGAAAAAGAAACGGCCCAATCACGATAGATTTGGCATAATTAATGATCCACATTAAGGACAGCTCCAATTTTCATAAACCCTTTCTGATACGTTACTTTACAATAATTGTACTGTTTTTGCCATCCCTCCGCCACTGTTTGACCCTGCCATTTTCCCGGCCAGGGCTTCGAGACGACTATAATACTATAACTTGATCAACATCACGACTAGGCAACTCGACTACTGTCCAACAGGGTCTAGCTGCGAGCGGATGAAGTATGGCTGATTTTAGCTGGCTGAATCTCCATCCAGCGAATTTCAGCACTTTGGCTGGTTAAATCCCAACTTATGTATATCCCCATGGCATACCCAGCGACTATTAACATATGAATGTATCTCTAATCATTCCTGATAATATAATATATCCAGATTCAATCCCCATTCTATATCCACTATCCACTAACCATTGATTATTGGGCTGCATTCTATTCCCATGCTACCTTCATGATTCATATATATATATATGTATAAATATATATATATATATATGTATATGTACATAGATATATATATATATATATATATAATATATATATATATATACCTGGTTGGTGGTATACCTACCCCTCTGAAAAATATGAGTTCGTCAGTTGGGATTATTCTTCCCAACTGAATTGAAAATCAAAAAAAAATGTTCCAAACCACCAACCAGATGCAATAATTCCATCATTCCATCCCCATTTCCATCGTAGAATTACACATTGATTGCTGGGCCGATCATTCCACCCAGCCAACACAATGGATATGTTCTTCCCAGTATATCCCCATTCTACCATGCCCATTACTCAATTAACCATGATACAATCATTAATTCATGTATTCCCAGTCATATAGTATCTATATGTCTATATCCCCATTCTATCCCCATGGATCATGTAATTCAAGCTGCAAAGGGCACCACCTTGTATCATTCTACCCACAGCCATGCCGCGTGCTGCCTGCATTCGTGTCTTCACCACATCCATGGGCTGCGTCAGCAACGCCGCAGCAGCTGCGCACACCTCAGCGGTCGTTGGGTCGTCGGGTTGCTTGATTTCAGCATCGTGGGCTCCCGCTAGAAATCGCAAAGATGCTGCAAAGAACTAGGTGAATTCTATTGTTTTGGGTAAACAAATGGTAAATATATTCTGCTTTTAGTAATTTCATGTATTCATGGGGGTTAAAAGTTAGCCAACTTATACCTTGGGGGTCCCACCACGTGGTTTTAAAAAAAATGTACTCACAAATGATTTGATTTCATCAAATTTAATTATTAATGATGAGAATGGGTATTTCATTTCAAGCATTTTATGATTTGAGGGCAACGAAACGCAGATTTTTATTCTGTAAATCAATCCAATAGACTTTGCAACTTTGGATTTTGGATCCACAATTTCTTGGCTAGTTGGTTTTGTTTGATTTTGTTTGTCCTTGTGGGCCGTTCCTTGTGGGAGTGGTTCCTTTACGGCTCTAAACCTGATTGGAAAACATTAAAGAAGCGCAGTGAAGACTAAGCCAGGCGAAGCTTCGATGTGAAGAACGTAGATCATGTTGCGTTTCACTCTTGGTTTTCCACATCTATGGAAATGTTTATCCCATACAAATAGGGTCTTTGAAACTTCCAATCAAAAACCGCAAGACCGCTTTCTGGTCTCCCAAGTTGCAACAACAGTCTCATTCAGAAACTGCAAAGAAGAATGCCACTGTGAAGTGGTAGAGTTTGCAGCATTTCATCGCAAATAATTCTGCAAAGAAAATGTGTGTTTCATATATACCATATGCTCCATGTATGGAATATTTACCTACATTTGGGCCATTTTTGGGGCAAATGTAGGTAAATATTCCATACATGTCATAGGAGAGCTTGCCATACCGATCTGTTATGGTATTTCTTGATTTTTCTAGGCCTACATGTTTCCCAGTGGACCCAGCTTGTTCCCACTCAAGCCCTGGAACACCCCAGGAAACCCTAAATAAAACCATGGGAAATCCCAATCAATCCCTGACAATCCAGCTAAAAACTCTCCAAATATTGCCTTGGGTTTATGTGGTGTTGATGTGGGTGTCAAATGGGTTTTTGGCCATACCTTGTGGGATTCCAATGGTGGTGTGCATGTTTTTTTTTGGTTCCCTAATGATTTCCCACAAGAACCCCATAACATTCTTACTTGGCTGCCAATAAAACATTATCAAAACACAACTATAACCCCATCAAAAACACCACCAAAATCCCAAAAATGGGTCAGTGCCACCAAACATTGCTGTAACTAAAACCAATTGATTTCCATTCAACCCCATCAAAACCCCATCAAAATCACACCAAAATCCCAAAAATGGGCCAGTGCCACCAAACATTAGTTGGACTGGAGCATCTGGGTATTGGATGATGTTGGATTGCAAATAGCTGTACATATAGTCTCCAAATACACAAAAAAAAACATATCCAAAGACTACTGTCCATTACATAGTCTTGTAAATATGATGGATCATGAAACATAGATCAACTACCGGCCAGTTATCAGTTGCTTTACAAGCCACATTAAGTATAGGTATATCTACCACAAACATCCAGAAACCATCGATACCCCCATTAAGTATATAGGTATATCATTGTATATATATACATATTAAAAAAAAAATATATATATACATTATATAAATATATGTATATGTTTTTACATATTATAAATAAATTTTTATATATATATAATATGTATATATATACACATATTGTATATATACATACATATTACATATATCATATTATATATAATTACACATATTATAAGTATAATATATATATATATATATCTATATAATTATACACACCATATTAACATACACACCATAAACCATAGAAGTCATCTACTTAAACGTTTTTGAACCAACTTAGCAATCCTAAACAGGGCCCCAACAGCCCCAACGGGCGGATCGAGAAAAACACCCATGGGCTTCCCTGCGGAGCTAATCCCCGCGCAGCTCAGCGCGCGTTGCTGCATGGCTTTTTTGTCGAACTCCTGTGGCTGACGTGGCCCAAAACATCCAAAACTTACGGGTTGATTGGATTCTGGTAATCATTGTATATAATATTATACAATCCCCAATTCATATTGGGTATACTATGATTCCGATCATCAACCAACAGGGTTTTTGAACACTGTTTAGTAATGGGGGAATGGGATGATGGCTGATGTGGTTCACGGTTACTGTGGATCATTCCCCCATTCCCTACTAAGCACCAGAAAGAAAAGGGGTTCCAGAATTACAGACTATGGGTTTGTCGGGAAATAGGGTAGCCCAGAATCCAGCGATTACTGTGCTAGGTATATTCGTGATGAAATTGCGATTTCAGGGGTATACCATGGTATACCCCATGTTCAGACACGCCCACACATTCAACGCGGAAAGTGACTAAACCTTCCAAGAATTCTCGGAAATCCAGAGCTCTCCCCGATTACTTCATCCAAATCTACCTTGAGTAATCAAACTCAGAATCAAATTCAAAAATCCAAGAGCCATACAGTTATGGCCATTTATTAGTTCTAACTTATAAGTGGTTATAAATGGGATTATATTGGGATTATACATTCTATAAATGGGTCAGTTCAGTACTTATAACTGGTATTTCGGGCCATAACTGTAGGAACGCAAATGAAGGTTCCCCCCCCCCACCCATCACAACAACTCCCTTACTTTGAAGAGTGCTTGGTTTAATTCATCACCTTGAGATGCTTTGGGACTGCATGGACTCAAACCCAGTCCCAAAGATTTTGATGATAGAAATATATATCTAAAAAACATGTTGAAAATCATATTGATGTTTGTTTTTCAAAGGGCTAATGGTTTACTCAATTACTTAAACATACTTAAACCATCATAAACTCATATCCCAATTATATGTCCATTAGAATCACATCAAAGCGGCACTAAACTACCCGCCTTTAGCCACCTTTGAGAAACTATTTTTAATATCCCTGGCTGCTACCTCCAACCAAACTGCTGCGTCTTAAAAATGCGGTACACTTTCTAAAATCACCATTTCAACAAGGGAAAAAATGATTACCCATTATAATATGAATCAATATCAGCCTATATATGAATCTATATCAACCACTGGATTTTAGAGATTTTCCCACCATTTTCTTCGATAAAACCCATGGTCACGCAACGGCATTTCGGTTTTTCATCCGCAACTCGGCGTCCGTGGAGCGGTGGAGCGCCGTCGAAGTCCTCCCGCCACGCTGGATGACTTCCACCGGTGAAACGGTAAACATATCAGATGGTTTAGCCATGGTTTACCCATATCAGATATCATTCCATGGTAAAGTTCTCCCATTCTTCGTTGCGTTCTCCAATCATGAACATCATCGTTTAGAGATGAGTGTAGCAACCATTTTCCATCCATCTCCCCGGCACCTCGGCCACGTCCGCCACGTCGTCATGTGGCGCCCCTCCGCGCAACGGTGGTGTCGACGTCCTCCGCGCGGCACGGCGGCACGGCGTTGGTCTAAACGGCTTCGATCTCGTTGGGGCCCAGATTCACCGCCTAGCGAACAAAGGGATGGCGGTTTGGAAAACATCCATGAATGGTTCATAATGGTTAGTAAATCCATAAAATAATGCTTAAGCCTACTGAACATAGTGGCAAACTACTTGTCCACAGATTTTTGGGAAGAGATGGATATAGATGATGCTTCCTGGTTCAAGCAGCTTTATGTCATGTTTAATTATGTATATCTGTATGTATATATATATATATATACACACATCTTTTGTGTGTGGCTGTGTGAATCGTGGTAGAACAACTCTGTGACAATTTCTGTGACCATATGCAGCACTGATCTGCATGTGACTCCTGGGATGTTTTTTGTAGAAACCTGGTAAAAACCAATAAGGTGCCCCAGTTACAAGTTGCTAGAAAACACCCATCGGCTATAGATATTATAGATATGGAAAACATATAATTAATATTTCACAAACCTGAATTGAGATAGTTAAGGCCATTTGGGAATGATGTCCCGTATTAATTAATCATGATTCCAGGCTTTGGTCACGCACAGAGGAGGTTATGTATCATAAACACGAGTTATTGGACTTCCGTTCACCAATGTATCTGGGGCACCACCTTGCAGTGATATAAAGGATAAGGATAAGCCGCTATGAATAGCTGGGATGCACATCCAAATCTCAAACAGCCCTTTGGCGAATCCACATGTTGGTCATCTAAGATCATTTAAAGTTATTTACATAAAGTATATATTGTCTATATATATATATTACGGCAAGACCCTCAGGTTTGCCCGGACTCGCAACGAGCGTCCGGGCAAGCCAAGATGATGATGATGATGATGATGATGATGAGGAGGAGGAGGAGGACGAGGGCAACGATGATGTGTTTGTTTTTGTTTTAATATAAGAAACCCTAACGACTGTATGGTTAATTGTTCCATAGGGCCGACTTTGATCTCTTCCTGAATGCCTATAAGAAACCCCCTAATGATTGTATGGTTAATTGTTCCATGGGGCTGGGGGGACTTTGATATCTTCTTGAAAGCCTACAAGAACCCCCCTAATGATTGTATGGTTAATTGTTCCATGGGGCCCGGGGACTTTGATATCTTCTTGAAAGCCTATAAGATCCTATAAGAAACCCTAATGAGTGTATGGTTAATTGTTCCATGGGGCCCGGGGACTTTGATATCTTCTTGAAAGCCTATAAGATCCTACAAGAACCCCCTAATGACTGTATGGCTAATTCCATATGATATGTAGAAGCAACATGATCCGGTAAACACCCTAGCAACATTATTTAACATAGAATCCTTCCTGTTGTTTGACGTACGGAATTCCCTGGTAGTTACGCTGTTCTGGGCTTGGGCAAACCTCGGGGTCTGTGTGTGTTATATATATATATATATTTATTTTTATTATTATCTCATATATTGTATATCATATAGTGTATATATATAGTATAAGCACTTATAGTATATCTCATCTGTTCGTGCATTTTGCACTTGAAGAAATCAACTCATCGAGGTTCTTGGATCCTCAAGGGGCCTCACAAGGTGAGCCACTGAATGTGAAATGATAAAGATCTAGCAATTCAGCTACCAAGAGTGTGAACATTATCCTCATATGAAAAATATCTAGTGATGATGATTCAGAGATGAAGAGTTCTTGGTGTGATGATTATCCGAAAAATACCATAGATAGTGCTTTTTCGGTTTCCGAGTGGACCGTCTCAACGTAGACGTAGTTCACCAAGTTGAGCGTCAAACACGTGCTGCGAAGTGGTTCTACTGCTGTCGACATAGGTTCGTAGAAGCCCAATTCATTCACACTCAGATTCTGGAAAAAAGACTATCTTCCAATATATCCCGATTGTATCCACACAATGTCACATTAAAACATTAGACCCATAGTTAAACATAGTTAACCGTCTATAAACAAGTATATTAATATACTCATAAACCTTAGGACACATCATGTCATAATCCCATTCACATTATCTGATGATCTTCCCAGAATCCCATAAACTCATGATAGTCAATGTTTCTACTTCGTTCATCAACCCACATCAACCCAGCCATCGTGGCGGTGCTTCGCCATGCTTCGCCCTTCGCGCTGTGCGGACGGCGCCTCCTCTCGTCCATCCTGGCGCTGGTCGAAGCAAACGATCAAGCGCGTGTCGCTGTACTCGCCCAGCACTGTGCCGAAGCTGCCAGGAGCCGCCAGCAGCGTCTCCTGACCGGCCGAGGGTTCTGGTTGGTGGTTTTTCCATGGGGAAAAACAAACGTTTTTAGTGGGAAAACTATGGGAAAACTGCAAATGTTAATGAGAAAATAGATGGAACACACTATTTTTGGCGTTTATTGTTGTTTTCAATGAAAAAATTAAGACACATATTGTCTTCAGATGAAGAGAGAGAGAGAGAGAGGGATATACATGTTGATAATATGCGGTAGAACCATGCACGTAGAAATATCCAGCTTAAATCCTGAGCCTATCACTATTTTTACATATTTTTACCAACTTACATATCGCTTGGGGGGAGCCTTCCTGCAGTCCTTTTCCCAGTCCTTTTCCGACAATTGGCATGATCTGCGGATAGATCTCGACTTTACCATAATTTGAGAGATGGGGCATCCCCAGTCGTCACCATGGTTGTTAAAAAATACTTGTCGTCATGGACATCCATGACTGGATGATATGGAGGTATCTGCATGATCTTCGGAAACATCCGAACATCCAGATGAACATCCAGATAGCCATGGAAAATCACAAGTTTTAATAGGTAAACCATCTATAAATGGGTCATGTTCCATGGCTATTGAAAAGAGATACCCTCTGGTAAACATACACATAGCTATTGAAAATGGCCCAGTCGAAATAGTGAGTTTTCCCATGAAACATGGTGGAATTGTCCATCGTTTTTTGTAAACGTTTACCAGAGGGTATCCCATTCATATTGGGGATTAATATATTAATTAACAAAACTGGATATATCCTGGTTGGTGGTTTGGAACCATGAAATTTTATGACTTTCCATATATTGGGAATGTCATCATCCCATGAATAGGGTTTTCTCATGTTTTCTCCATGCACCAAGGTTTGCGCGATCGACTTTCCTGTGCTCGAATGTCCGCGGCTGCTTTGACCCGCTGGGCGACTCGAAATCCACCTGGCACCATACCAGTGCTCCAATGGTGTTCCTACAAGGACCCTGCGTTTACGAGAGCTAAGTTGGTGAACATAAGTCCAATCATTTGGGTTTTTGTGATTTTTTGTTTGTGGGATATATATATATATATGTATATATATATAATGTATGTATGTATATATATATATATATAATGTATGTATATATATATATAATGTATGTATATATATATATATATATATTGTATGTATATATATATAATGTATGTATATATATATATAATGTATGTATATATATAATGTATGGATATATATAATGTATGTATATATATAATGTATGCATATATAAATATATAATGT